TTAAGAGAGAGAGAGAGGGAGGGAGGGAGGGAGAGAGGGAGGGAGGGAGACCTATTGCTTTGAAATGAAATGAAGGGAAAATATCATTCTGGCTGGATTCCCCCAAAATATTTCAACTGACAAAGTTGTTTTTGAAGAGTGCTTACTTTTTCTGACTCAGTGACTGTATGACAGACCAAGCTACAAACCATAGCTACACTTTATCTAAGCAATTTGGATTGCACTTTTAGATTGGTGCATCATACAAACTCCAAAAACTGAGCTAATTGAGTAAAGCATGTCCCAAAGGTGCTTTCTCAAAAGGCAACTGGATTTTGTGTTTCCTTGAAAACCATGTCACTCAAAAGCCTACATTCCAGGTGAATCTTAATTTCCCACACTTGCATGAAAGACATAACTCTTGCCGGACATCCAAATTTGGCAAACTCAAGAGAAAGTTAAGTGCATCTAATTCTTTATTGTTTCAAAGAGAATTATTCATGCTCCTCACTTACATAGTTCAGTGAGTGCTTTAAAATTGCTAGTTCTTCTCTGATCTTTGCATGGCAGGAGGGTAGAAAAAGAGATATACTTCTCAGAAAATGCTTTGATGGAGCTTATAATGAGTAAAGGAAAAGAACAGCTAAGAGAAAATGATATCATCATATATATCATCCAGAACAGTGACAATCTGAAGGCTCTCCCTTGGGTTCTGCTGTTGTAGGTAGGTTTGTGAGACCACAGAGATAGTGAAACACACTAGAAAATCACATGATGCAATTTGTGGAACTCAACAGTTTCTTTTTGGGGTCCTAGGAGAAGGAGCAGGAGGAGGAGAGAAGAAGAAGAAGAAGAAGAAGAAGAAGAAGAAGAAGAAGAAGAAGAAGAAGAAGAAGAAGAAGAAGAAGAAGAAGAAGAAGAAGAAGAAGAAGAAGAAGAAGAAGAAGAAGAAGAAGAAGAAGAAGAAGAAGAAGAAGAAGAAGAAGAAGAAGAAGAAGAAGAAGAAGAAGAANAAAAACAGAGCAGAATTATCATTGTCGGAGACAAAAGAACTAGAATTTATCCTTCTCTTAATCTTTGAGGTATTGGGACACCACAGAAAAGACTAGGGATATAACAGCCTTACATCTGTTCATGGGAGACCAAAAAGAAAAGAAAGATTTTTTTAATGTGAAAGTTAAATTGGGCCTTTTAAAAACTTTCAAATTTGGCAGAAGATTGTGGTGATCTCCATGCCATGGTTCACACAATGTGAGAGATAAAACAAGCTCTGTGCCCACACACCCTGCATAGGATTTCCACCCAGCTCAAAGTCACATCAAAAAACATTAGAGGCACAAGGGAAATGTTTTAAAGCTTGTTCTGTCTTCCTTTTACAGCTAATGTGGCCTTTACATGGGAGATTTCTGGTGAAAATCTCATTCCTTCTGGAAAAACAATGAAACTGCCTCCTGCCAGGGAGCTAAGTGGAAGAATCAGAGAATGGATCACTCATCCTTTCTAATCTCCTCATTATGGCTTCCTTGTCATCCTAAATTATAGGTCTGTGAAGGTACCTGGTTTAATTGTCTTCTAAGTCACTGTCATATTTTCTTCTTTGCTAAATGCCACAGTAGAGAAATGAAGGCTATCTCAGTTATTCCTTTGCTATTTGGTTACATCATCGGCACGGAATATTTTAATTAATTTGACAAAAAGGCCTTGAATCTTTTGCCTCTTATATTTATAAGACTGAATTCCTATAAAAATGTATAAATACCTTTCCTTCCCTCCCCTCCCCTCCCCTCTTCCTTTCCTTTCCTTTCCTTTCCTTTTTTCCTTTCCTTTCCTTTTCCTTTCCCTCTCCTCCTCTCTCCTTCTCTTCCCTTCCCTTTCTCTCCCCTCCCCTTTCCCTCCCCTCCCTTTCCTTCCCTCCCTCCCTCCCATTATCAACTTAAATCTGTGTATAGCTATTCCTAAGTTCCACTCTCCCTTAAAGTTTATCAAAGGCAATAAATATTCTTAACTGGCAATTTCCTGAGTAGATGTAATGCTGTTCATTTTTCTGATTCTCTTTTCTTTTGGGATATCCATCCACGCATGGTAGAAATGATACCTCAAGCAGGTACTGTATGATGATTTTTCTGTTCAATCTGGATCTCTTGATGGTCTTTTCACACCCTTCTACAACCTGGAACTTGTAGCGCTTCAGCAGCCAAAACTGCCTAAATCCAACTAAGTTTGCCAACCAAACATCTCCTCCACCTTCAAAACTCCAATAAGAGCTCTCTCTCTTCCTGCCAACACATCGGCTTATTTTGAACTGTCTCGCTTGAGAAACTCTTCTTGCTTCTGAAAACCTTATCTCTTTCATTCCCTTCTATTTTCCCAGACTGAGCTTATCAGCTTTATGTAGAGCTTGTGTGTCAGGGAGATCACATGTTAGGAAGGCAGACAGTGCTAAGCTGTCTTATTTGAAATTTGATTCATTCCCTGGATCAGGACGCAAGCCATTGTTTTTTTTTTTTTTTTAAAGATGCATTTGATTTCTTAGCCATTTCCAATAAAACTAATTACATTTCATCTCCAAATAACAACAACCAAACTCTCAGGGGCTGCCCCAAAGAAGAGGGAGTCAAGCTATTTTCCAAGGCGCCTGAAGGCAGGACAAGAAGCCACGGATGGAAACTGATCAAGGAGAGAAGCAACCTAGAACTAAGGAGAAACTTCCTGACAGTGAGAACAATTAATCAGTGGAACCACCTGCCTCCAGAAGCGGTGAATGCTCCAACACTGGAAGTTTTAAAGAAGAGACTGGACAGCCATTTGTCCGAAATGGTATAGGGTTTCCTGCCTGAGCAGGGGGTTGGACTCGATGACCTTCAAGGTCCCTTCCAACTTTACTATTATTATTATTATTATTATTATTATTATTATTATTATTATTATTATTATTATTATTATTATTATTATTATTAAACCCCATACTTAGATTGGCCCAGGAGAACAACTAAATTATTTCAGCTGAGTTTAACATTCAGTATAATTAATATGATTATTGGAGGTGAAGTGATAGATCTGACTTCAACCCGAATAATTGCTTCAAATTATTGTTGTGATTGAATAATCATGAAAAATATTTGGAAATTTCAAATATAAACCAAATTTGGTGGTTTAATGACTCTTGGTGATGGCCCTGCAGTTTTCATGGCAAGAGTTTAAGAAGTGATCTGCCATTGCTTCCTTCCTAAGATGGAGAGAGGGGGACTGGCCCAATGTCACCTAGATCAGGGCTTTTCAACCAGTTGTACGGGTACCACCTGTGGTACATGGGCACCTGGCAGGTGGTACGCGACCATCCTAGAAAAGTGGTGGCGGGGGAGGGGAATGAGCTGAACCAGTGGCAGCACCTCACAAGCCTGAGTGAGAGATGGCTGGAGCTGCAGGGCTGTCAGGGCTCAGCGGAAGCGCCAGGATCAATGCCAGGCTCCAGCTGGAGCTCGGCGCTGATCCTGGTGCTTCTGCTGAGCCCAGAAGAAGCACCGATCAGCTGGAATGTTGCAGCATCTCCAGGGTCTTCTGATTTACAATCAGATGCTTGGCAACTGATTCATATTTATGACGGTCACAGTGTCCCAGGGTCATGTGAAGTGACCAAAACCTGCTGCAACCACCCAGCAGACAGGGGAATAAAAACCAAACACCCCCCACCCCACCCCCGCTGCCAATCCTCAACAGAAATGCTCATAACAATGGAAACCTCGGACAGGAGGAAGAGCGCCACCGGGCAGGCAGGCAGGTGGCTTGCTCGGCTGTGCCTTGGGGGGCACTTTTTTCAGTGCCATTGTAACTTTGAACAGTCACTAAGCGAACTGTTGTAAGTCGAGGACTACCTGTACTTTATCACTTTTTTCCTTTTTTGGGGGGGGGTCATCAAGTTTTTGACACCTTGCTAGGCGACTGGTGGTACTCAGATGTTGCCATATCCTAAAAGTGGTACCATGGGTGACCAGGTTGAAAAGCCCTGACCTAGATGGCTTTGTGACCTATGGTGGAACTAGAACTCACAGTCTCCCAGGTTCTAGATACACCAAACAGATTTTTGTGTAATGTTAAATCTTTTGAACATTAAATCTTAACATATGGTCTTGATCCTTTGCACCTGACATTAATTAATCTAATCTAAAGCTCAGTATTAAATTGGAATCATATAAGGTTCAACAATATTCAAGAAGAGTTTGACTTGAACTTATGGCAACGTAAGAAATCTAAGCTAATGACATGTTTAACTCCACCCTTCAGCTCTACCTGCTCTTCTCCTACGGTGTATATGTGTATGTACAGTATATCACACCAGTTAATAAAGTTAAATTATTGGGAAAAATGTTTTCGCAAATCCTGCTGCATCATTTGGTACTATGGAACAGTCAACCTCACTTTCTTTGACTTTTTATAAGCCCAATTTGAAGCTGTAGGCCTTTCTAGAATCTTCCTGCTGGTTTCCCCAGACATTAATCGTTACACGTGCATCCAATGTACATTGAGTGATATAAGTTAAGTGGAATGAAAAGAGGGATATCCTTCTCCATCAAAGCATGTGTTCCAGTGAATATTGAAATCTAATTTCTTCTGAAGGTTTTTTTTTTTTTAAATTAAGCCTCTATAGATTTGGATCCCCCACTACTTACTTTAGAGACCTTTATTTAAATCAGATAGGGCTTTAAGGTTAAAAGGTAAAATGAAGTCCAATTAATTTGCACCATTTATTATGCACTCCAAAACTCCATACATTTAATTGGAAGTAAAACCAATTAATTCGGTATCCACAAGGGTGTATAAGTTTATAGCCTTGCCTGCATAATATATGAACAATTTCCTCTGTGATTCAGTAACTTATCTCCTGCAAATAGTTTGATCGTTTTGTTAACACCATAGTTTTGCTCCACTTCTAAAATGAAAAATTCTATTATCGTATCACGGTGTGTGCAACTAATTTATGCACAGCATCAGAAATGTTTGATTTATGTTTGTTTCCGTCTTACCTTTAAAGAACCAGATTTTTCTTTTCTGCTGACAATCAATACCTCTGCTGTATCTTTTGCCCAGGCTGACTGTGCACAGATGACTAAAGCTCTCTCCGCATCTGATAAATTTCTCAGTGCAACTAAAGCTCCATTGGGTTCCACCTTGAAGTCTGGGCTTGAAACTTCAAAGTTCAATTTGTGATTTTCTTGACAGTCATCAAATACCACTAAGGGGGAGGGAGAGAGAAAGAGAGAGAAAAACAAGGTCAAAAGTGTCCATGAAATATCATGTCATTGATAGCTAGCTAGTTGGCTTACATTAGAAGCCTTATTTGGAACATTACTGACCCAATACTTTTCAATTTTAATAATAATAGCTCTTGCAAAAATCTATCAAAAGTTTTAGCACTGTATTGTGATGATGGAAGTAGTCAACAGTTAAGAGAGATTGTAAACAGTTCTCTAACAATGAACAAGAAGGAAGGAAGGAAGGAAGGAAGGAAGGAAGGAAGGAAGGAAGGAAGGAAGGAAGGAAGGAAGGAAAGAAGGAAGGAAGGAAAGAAGGAAGGTTGAACAACATTTTGTTGGAAAAGTCCAAGGTTTCAAGTGTATCAATTTTTTTCAGAATCTTGAATTTATCTTCTCAATATGCCAGCAGCTCTCCAACTACTATATAGCATGCTAAAGTTGCAAATCATGGTATGCAAACCACAATGGTTGGTATCACACTAATATATAATATAATCTTCAATACTACTCTCTGTCTATCCAACCTGGTTCTGCATATCCATCACAATCTTGTTTTTAAACTATATAACCTTTTATCATTTAGCAGCAATGCCACAAAACATGTTTCAATGTCAATTGTTGATTCAGAAAGAAAGGTTCACACATTACATCCACTCCAGAACAAAAGAAAAAGCTTTATGGCTTTATACAATATATGGATTCATCCCACCTTAAGTGCTTAAGAGCTATGATAAAGACAAAATGAAAAGCATCTTCCAAGCATGCATACAGATTGAAATTTATTCACCAAAACATTAACAGAAACTAGATTAAACATACTTGAATTATAGCAACTACTTTGGGAGTAGTTACTCCAGGTTTATAACGCGAGAAACAGCAGGCTTGAACAAAATGTTTTCAGTAAATAATTATGGAATAATTGGTTTGGGCCTGGCCTGGCCATCTAAAATCCTTAAGGCTAACAAAAGCAGTTTGGGGTAATAATTTTGCTTCATATTAAGAACCAATTCTGTTGGTTTGATGGAAATTACTGTAGGATGATTGGTTTCACAATCAAAGCGCCTCCCTAAATATATGAATTTCCACACTTCAGCAGTGTGATAATTGTTATTGTGCAGACTACTGTAATTATATTCAGCATGGGCTTTTCTTTATGGAAAGCTGATCACATCTATAGCCTTGAGAACCATCTCTAATGGGCGGTTGAGTTTTCAGGGCTCATAGATGCAGAATTCATGAAAACACAACTTATGTGCATGATACCCACATGGAAATGAAGGATTCTCTAGTAGAGAATTTGCTGAGACCTTGGCACCTTCAGGCAAGATGGAAAGATTTCGGTATAAAACCTGACAAATCAATGCTATTCAGCAATTTTAGGCTGGGTTGATCCATCTTTTGAATGAATTCAGAGCAACATCCTACTTTTGATGGCAAACTCCATCACAAAATCCATTAAGAAACTCCAGCCCATTTCTCATTTTCTTGCACTCAAGGGGTTTTGGACTTCAACTGTCCTCATTCTGAGACAGTCCAAGATGACATTTGCGTCTTTCAGGGTCCTTGAGATAAATAAATAAATAAATAAATAAAATAAATTGTATGGGTTCAGGTGGCAGGGGAGTATGGTTCTCAGAGTGTTAAACAAGCAAGATGGCACTTGACATGTGATGTTGACACAGAAATCTCATGCTGTGAGGTCCTTGGTGCTCTCTGAGCTTGGTTGTTTTCCTGCAGATGTTTTATTACCAACTAGGTAACATCATCAGTACTAGAAGAGAGTGGGGTTTGCAAATTCCATTTTTATTTATTTATACTTTGTATTTCTTAACCGCCCATTCCCTTCTAGCACTGATGATGTTGCCCAGTTTGGTAATGAAATGTCTGCAAGAAAATAATCAAGCTCAGAGAACAGCAAGGACCCCACAATACCAATGAAATGTAAGGAAGAAGAGAGAGAATGTAATCAAAAATGAAGATTCAAAAGAGGTTGATGAGACTTTTGGCCCCTCACATTACTAAAACACAATAGAATAAATTTAATTGAAACTGGACACATATCTACTTTCTGAAATTTTGGGTGCTGGCAGTGATGGGACCTTTAATGGTCAGGTTCTTCAAAGGTAGTTAAGGAGATCCATTCACTATTATGGAGTACATAATGAGCCACAAATCCTAATCAAACATTAAATACAGTATGGATAATGGGGAGTCTTTGCTGGAATACCAATTCTCCTTGCTGAAAATTCAGTTCACACACACACAGTTATCCCCCAGCTGTAGCCAGATCCAAAAGTTTCAGCTCTGTGCAAGCAAACTATTCATTTATTGACATCTATATGGTTGTTTGGAAAATCATTTCTGCCAAGTGAACATCTTTATTGTGTTTAATATGCCGTATGGTGTAGAACGAGATCCAAAAAGCACGATGGAAAGCATGGAGGCCGTGCCAAATATTTCCTAATGGAAAAAAGAAAAATTCAAGAAACCTATATTTCATGAAGCCTGCTGCTTAATACCTGCTTTATTAGCATAAGACCTGGTGCCAGTCCTTTCAATGAACTTCTGAAGTAAATATAACGCTTATCTCCCAGCAAATAATTCATGCGTTACCAATTTATTTACTCATTCCTGGAACACTGATGCAAAATCCAGCCCATGTAACCACATTTAAATGACACAGTTGTTAAAATCCAACACAACTTGATTCTGTTAAGATGTCTATGGAGATTCTCAATCATCCAGGTCATTGTTGTCCCAAAAGCGCTTTACCAAAAGGCAACTGGACTTTGATTTTTCCTTGAAAACTTTTCGCTTCTCACCCAAGAAGCTTCTTCAGTTCTAAAGAAGCTTCTTGGATGAGAAACAAAATGTCTTCAAGGGAAAAAAAAACAAAGAAAATCCAGTTGCCTTTTGAAAAAGTACTTTTGGGACATTCTGTTAGCATGAAATCCAGATATATACAGATATTCCCGTGAGGTTTTGGATTCCATCTCATGGAAGTGAAATATAAATTGTTTTCTATAAGCCATGATTAAAAACTACCCAAAATATCCGAGAGCTTTACTCTGAAACACAAAGTAGAGAACCAACATTATCTGACATTGAGAAATGACACTATTTTCTAAAGGAAAATTGTTTCCTTTCATTTGAAGAATATTTACCGTATGAAAAAAATGTGCAATTACCTAACATTGTTTTTTTTAGCAAGATAAGAAAAACACTTGGTTATCCTCCAAATTTCATACTTCTGTGATGCAAATTTCTAGTTAAAAAATGTGTACCACAGTGGTATTAGAGGAACTGATCAGAAAACATTCAATAGTAAATCCACCATGCATTATATTAAGAAAATTGCTTGCAAATATAAACAAGATGGCATAAAAATGAATGTATTAGAAAATGCATATTAAAAGGTACAGTTGAAAATCCATCTTGTTAAACCATCTCCACTTCCATTGTTTTAAATTCACTTTTTTGTGATGCCAAGAAAAACTCGGTTTAATTCCACAAATCTCTCTGGGATTAAATAGGAAGAATTGATTGATGGGGGTAGTTATTAAAACTTAAGGGTGAATTCAACTCCTGAGGAGTAACTGCATAGCAACCAAGGGAGAAAATGGAATGTCCCTCAGTCAGAGCTGAAGAAGCTTCTTGGATGAGAAGCGAAACATCTTCAAAGAAAAATAAGAAAGTCTAGTTGCCTCTTGAAACATTTGGGATATCTGTTTCTCTCAAAATGGTTTCCACAAATGGTAATCACAGCAATGACATTTTTCCTCAGACTCATGGAAAATCTAAAGAAAAGATGGTGCCTTTAATAGTAGAATAGCTCTAGGGTTTTGATTGTGTGGCTTTGGCCGCCATCTTGGATTTTCACAGATATCTGTCTAACGTCTACGCAATTTCCATTCCTTTGTTTGCTTGCTTACTTTTATTTTAGTAACATTTCTCTAAGTCCCACATTCTGTGAAAATCCTAAATATTTTTTACCAGGTATTTGTACTCCAGGAGAAGATGGGGACGAGGGGCTACTACCTATGAGGAGAAGAGATGTAAAAGAAATTTGCAACATCCATAATGTCATGATCCATTGCTGCAATGAGATGCCGCGGATGGCAAAAACGAGTGGAATATATTGATTTTTTTTTAGCCGCAAGAGTTTGTAGCAGTTCATGAACATTTGGGAAGTCTAAGAAAAATATCATTCAGAAGGAATTTTGAAAGGCTGCCTTGAAAGCAAGGATGCTGGGGTTACATCATGCCTTCATAATTGTAAGAATAAAAAATAGGGTATCTGCGTCTTTTCAGCGGTTTTTCTGTTTTCTGGATGCTTAATGTCTGAACTGGACTCAGAAAAAGGTATCTTTGGAAGATCTTGAAGCTTACAATAAAATGGAAAATGATGTTTTGACAGATGCCATGCCAAGCTGCTTAAGACTTTATACACCTCTACAATTGAGACAGCAAGCTTCCACAAATCAACAAAGTAACTCTGTTTGTACAGGACAAATTCAATGCTGAAAAAAGTAAGGTTCTACATTTAGGCAAGAAAAACCAAATGCACAGGTAGAGATTAAGTGGTACCTTGCTCAATAGTAGTAACTGTGAGAGGGATCTTGGAGTCCTAGTGGACAATCACTTAAATATGAGGCAGCCGTGTGCTGCAGCTGCCAAAAAGGCCAACACAGTGCTGGGCTGCATTAACAGAGGGATAGAATCAAGATCCCGTGAAGTGTTAATACCACTTTACAAGGCCTTGGTAAGGCCACACTGGGAATACTGCATCCAGTTCTGATTGCCACAATATAAAAAAGATGTTGAGACTCTAGAAAGAGTACAAAGAAGAGCAACAAAGATGATTAGGGAACTGGAGGCTAAAAAATACAAGGAACGGTTGCTGGCATTGGGTATGTCTAGTTTAATGAAGAGAAGGACTAGGGGTGACATGATAGCAGTCTTCCAATATCTCAGGGGCTGCCCCAAAGAAGAGGGAGTCAAGCTATTCTCCAGAGCACCTGAAGGCAGGACAAGAAGCAACGGATGGAAACTAATCAAGGAGAGAAGCAACCTAGAACTAAGGAGAAACTTCCTGACAGTTAGAACAACTGACCAGTGGAACCACCTGCCTCCAGAAGAGGTGAATGCTCCAACACTGGAAGTTTTTAAGAAGAGACTGGACAGCCATTTGTCTGAAATGGTATAGGGTTTCCTGCCTGAGCAGGGGGTTGGACTAGATGACCTCCAAGGTCCCTTCCAACTTTATTATTATTATTATTATTATTATTATTATTATTATTATTATTATTATTATTATTATTATTATTATTATTATTATTATTATTATTATACGGGTTACTCTTAACCCATACTAGATATTTTCTGTTTTCATATGTTGCATGACCCCTACCTATTTAAAAGTAGTCCTTAACGTATGACAGCAATTGGGATCAGGATTCTCTTTGCTAATCAAAGTGGGGGTTAAGTAATTTGCGCCCGATTTAGCAATCTTTGTCGCCACATTGTTATGTGAATCTCTGCAGTTGCTAAGTGAATTGCATGGTCGTTAAGTGAGTCCAACTTCTCCCATTGACTTTGCTTGTTGGAATCCAGCTGCAAATGGTGATCATGTGACCCTGGGATGCTGCAGCCATCATAAACACATCAGCGCTCAAATTTTGATCACGGGATTATGGAGATGCTGCGGGAGTCTTAAGTATAACTGGTTTTAAATCACTTTTTTTTTCTAGTGCTGTTGTAATGATCACTAAACGAATAGTGGTAAGTCAAGGACCACCTATAGTTTTTTGTGTAATTCAGTGTACTGTGCAAAACCAAGATATAATTTAATTTGGAATCAGGTTATTTGGGTGAAGGCAGCCCTTGTAAGCCATTTAAAACTCACATACACACCCCCGCACAAAAATTATACCGGTATAAAGCAGTGCCTCTTGCAATTCAGAGTCAAATTTCAAAATGGCACAGACTGTATGTAAGCAGCAGAGTATCACTGTTTCCTTTAATACAACAACAACAAAAACCCCACTTCTCTCTGACTCCTTTTCCAACCCACAAAAGCAGCCGATGCCTCTTTGCAAGGAACGTTCTTTTAAAATGGCACAAAATTCTACGGGAAGGCTATTTATTCAACATTTCTCCGAGAAAGCATCGTCCCAAATAAAAGACTTTGTCAATTCCCACCTGCCACACGATACCGATGTATTATTTCCAAAATACTTGTTTGTTCTGCTGATAGAACATGATTCATCATTTGTGTAGCACAGTGAAAGCACAAAGTGAGTAATACTCTGAGGCAGGCCTGTAATATCTTTGGCCTTCTTTGCCTCAGAAGGAGGGGAGAAATAGAGATATTTAAAGAACTGTGGGTAAGAGACGTGTCTCCCTGAAAATAAACATGATTGAATTTCTATAAAGATTCGGTTTTTATCTATACTCACTATCGGCCTTCCGCCA